AGGAGAAGGAAAAATAAATTAACGTGTCTATATATTTTCTTCTTTTATTTGTCCAGAGATTTTCGTACACAGTTTCGCAGAATGAAATCCATCCATTAATCCCTTTTTCTGAACATCAGATCTGCTCAGCAAGTTGGCGCTAAGCTTTTCCGCTTTTTGGAATTAATGTAGGAAAAAAATGGTTCTAGCGGGCTAATGGAACGTAATCGGGTGATCTATTGACGGCCTGATAAAATACAGGTGAAATATTGTAAATGGCACTCGAAAATCAGACAGATGTGATTTAAGAATTCAGTAGGGGTATCGTACATCTTCTAATAACCCATTATGTAGGGATAAGATGCTTGTGTACATTCTGATTAGAATTTATAAGGGGCATACCCCATGTAGCGTGAGGGCCTCATGTGTCTAATGGGGGGCATCCCGATATAGGGATTTCCCCGTAGATTTCTCATGAAATTCCACCTGGTCATATCAAAACAAGGATTTCCTTATGGATTTTTCAGGAGCAAACCTATGACATGAATAAACTTACAATTAAATCTACCTTATGGGCGCTCATTGAGTCAAATCCGTTTGAAAGTACTCTCGGTAAAATGAAAAAACTTATAATAATAATCCCCTTGCTCAATTATGTCGTCGTTTCGATGAAATCTTTTACATTTGCAACGAACCAACAACTGTACTTCCTGATACTGTTATTATTATTAACAATTTAAAGTATTATTGACTATAAAATAGCCCAATAACACAATATTACTTAAGAGCAAACAAATTTTACAAATAATTGATATATGTATGTGTTGTATTTTTCCAAAGATTTTTAATGGGGTAGCAATAATTTTTCCCTGCAGAGGCCACATGCGGCATTCCTGATGATGCGCAAATGCGGCAAGGCGTTATATACCTCTTCCTTGCCCTAGAGGGCAACCTCATGGGGCCCACAAGTAGTAGTGTGGCTACCCACTTAGGAACCCTACCTGTACCCCTCTAAAAATTCTAGTCGGGATACTTGAAAATAAAAACAGAAAATGCTGGTGTAAATAATGCCAATAATTCCTGTTTAATGTTGGGTTGTTCACAAAAATTCATCCAAACATTTGAACTTAATTTATTAACAAATTAGTATAAGTACAACAATTGCAACAGAAAATGGTGATCTATCTGGTTACTGTGTTGATTCTATTTCAAAATTGTTCTAACTGAATTCTGGATTGTGGGCGGTACAGATAACAAAGTGGAAGGGTGGTACCTCCCTTACATTCAAATTTGTAGATATGCGTAATTTCCTGATATGGATACAGGATGACCGGTGACTGTTGCTAGGTACCTACCTAATTGCAGTCTTCTGCGAAGGGACGGTTTATTGTACTATTACTACTATTGTTCTATTAAAATGAGGGGTTATTCCACTCATAAACATAAATATCTGTACGTGACAACAACTATGAGATTTGAAATATAATTATTGTTCAAAAATTCCTAAACTAAACCATTATAATATTATATGATCGTACAATTCCATTGATTGAGAGCTTATACGAATAATTTTATCAAAAGGAACACAAAAACTATTACAGTCCGAATAAATTTGACATGTTCCGACTTCATGTATTCATTCAGGCCTAGCAGAAACTACCGTTTGTCAAAGTGTCTCTAATTTCATCAGTCATCAAGTGCGTTAAATATTCATTGTTAAACTTGTGGAATGCCAAAGTGCATCGCTGCGTCAACGTATGTAAGCATCCCTGCGGATATAATTTGGTCGTCTTATTTCAACGTCTAATACGAGGGTGATTTACATCAAGACGAACGGGGGTGGATTACGAGTATGACGAATTGAAACTGTCGCCGCGACATAAATGTTTTCGTCGCGTCTGGTACGTATAAAATCGCTTTATCTTTCTCCCTCAAAGTTTGACAGCTGCTTGAGTCGAGATAAATTGTGTTTGTCGTAAATGACGTACCTGCCACAGGTTAGAGGACGTATCTGTTTCAAATGTAAATGGACTGAGTTTTATTGTTAACACACTCTAGAATCGCAAACATAACGTTCTTGAATAACGACGGCAATAATCGTCAAATGGTTGTGCGAAATTTCCTATAAAGATAGATTGGCGCTGCTGTTGTATTTAAATTGAATTCCGTTTATTATAGACGGATATTATTTTTTGTTCCAGTTTAAAGTGTCACTCTTTGTGGTACGATGATATTCACGCATGTTTTTAAAATTAATGTTTCCTTATGTAAATGTGGTAAATGAAAAGGTTAGAAGCGTTCGAAATGTGGTGTTACAGAAATGAGGATACCGTGGATAGAGAAGGTTAGAAATGGAGAGATATTAAAAAGAATAAGAGAACGGAGGACTCTATGGAAGTAAATAAGAAATAGACGAGATAGGTTAGTAGGACACCTTCTCAAGCATGAAAGACTAGTCAAAGTCATATTAGAGGCAGAAACTGGAGTTAGGAGGGGTAGCGGTAGACTTACCCTAGGCAAAAATTTTTAGTCTCTCTCCAGTCTCTCAGAGTCTTTTAGCGTCTCTCACAGTCTTTAACAGTTTCTCAGTTATTGCTTAGGTTTTTTTATGGATCTCTCACAGTCTCTGTATGAGAGACTCGAACGATAAAATTGCTAATTCAGAGATTCGAGTCTCTCACAGAGAGGCTGAATAAATAAAACTGAAAAATTGAGAGATTCGAGTCTCGTAAAAAGACTGGGATCTCTGAAATATGTTGAACACAGAAAATTTTAACTATATCTATCGAGACACCACTTATTGAAAGATTCGAGTCTCTTTCAGAGATTCTAGTATCCCGTTCAGAGACTGGATACGAAATAAGGATCTCTCAATTGGCGACTCGAGTTTCTCGTTCAGAGACGGTAAACAGTTTTTTTTGAGAGTCTATCGAAAGTCTCTCTCAGCGACACCAGAGAGACTCGTTGAGAGACGAAGACTCGAATCTCGCTTACATAGACTCTGAAAGGCTGAACATTTTTATCTCGGCTAGATTAGATTACTGTTCTCAAATAGTTAAGGATGTGGGCTGTTCTAGTTTTAGGGAAATGTAAAGATTAGCTCAGGATAGGAAGGAATAGAGGTGCGTGTCTAAGCAGTCTTAGGACTGACGACCTTATGATGATGATGATGATCTAAATGTTACGGAAAAAATCGACTTCAAAACTGTTCCTACAATAGACAGACATAAAGTAAATGAAGAACGTTAGTTTCTTGTTTAATGTTCCATTTTCATTTCCACCATTCCATCCCCATTTAAAAACACTACAAGGTCATCCTCACCCTCTTCATCCATTCCTCTTACAACTCTACATGGTTCCCATTACCTCAAACTATGAGTCAACTGGACTTAGTGAATAATATTTTATTTTTAATGCTGGACAGTTATGTTATTATATACGATTTTTAATGATTTTATGTAGGAACTACCCGTTAGAATACAACAGTTATTTTAAAAAGGGCGAAAACAGTTATTCCCTAATTCCTCTACTTTTCCTTAGTGCAACTATTCCAATATAAGATAGATGTCAGGTAATTAGTTTTTGCCTCGCTCTTGTGTGGAATTATTTAGTTTTTGTTCATCAACGTGTAATTTTATGCTTGCTATCGAAATTAATGCGATTGTTCGAATGACAGCGTGATATGAGAATATCAAATGCGCAGTAATTTGTGGTTCGTGCGTTTCGTACCTGTTTCGAAGCAAGTAATGAATTATTCAAAGATGATTGTCGTGCATTTTCCAATTGCACCACCCCACAGTTTCTGATTGTGTATTCAAATTGAATTTGAAATTCGTTTTCGACTCTGTTGCTTTTTGTTTAACCTCAAATTGATATTTACTCGAAATTGTATATTTACTGCCGTTGTTCGCAGTTTCGAAAATTAGGATTTAATGTTATGAGCAAGTTATTTTAGAGTTGGCAGCGTTGTTGGCAGAGTACTGCTGGTACTTATAGATATGTACATGCAGTCGGGGAAGCCCTGTTTATGTTTGTTGAAGAGTTATTAGTGCTGTTCATGAATAATTCTCCCTAAATAATGAAGTTGCCAGTTTCTGTGCAATTGGCACAAACTTTTTTCTGGTGTTTCAAAATTATAAGAGGGACACAGAGGCGATAATGATGCCATCTTTAAATATTCGGTGTCCTAATTTGTAATTGTAAATTTGCCAATGTAGAAAATAATAACACAGTATGTTGTTGAGCATTGCCAAAAAAAGTTATTTTTACGACATAATTACTATAATTTTTTAATAAAATAGTTTAGTGTAATTCACTGGGAGATAAGTGTATATGTACCTCAATATGTACCAATAGTTTTTGAAAAGCTACAAAACAGATGAGTGATGGTAACCAATGAGTTTATCTCATACATAACTAGCTTTTCCCCGCGGCATTGCTCGCAGAAATTAATGTTGTTTCTCCATAAAACCTTTTAACTCCCAATTCACCCTTACAACGTTTTAATTTTATGTAATTTCATCATCTTAGATTTCAAATACAAACGTAGCAACAACTTTTCATCCTTAAGGGTTGTTTTTTAGAAATTGCCAAAACACGTATTTGCTTAATTTCAACAATGAACCACCTTCGAGTAAATCTGAGAACAAATAAAATATACCCCATGAAAACGTGGCAACCTCTTTTCATTTGATTAATAATGTCAAACGGCATATATACCAAGTTTCAAGTAAATTCAACAACAACTATTGTATGTCCCAAACAACACTTGCAACACCTTTTACCCCGCCCCCCTTTGGAAATTGAGTTTTTTAAAATTTCGAGATACGTCTTTCAGAAATTAAATGAGAGACCATTAAGACCAATTTTTAAGTAAATCTGACGACAAATAATATATGTTCCATTTAAATATTGCAACTAATCTTCACAACTCCCCCCCCCCCACGGGAACGGGATAAAAAGTATCCTATTTCCTTCTCCTGGTTGTAAGCTACCTCCCCATATATAGATAAATGACATACCTGTGCAGCGATATGACCTTGTCTCATCCTTGGGAGATCGGTATGACTCCAAACGCTATTGGACCAAGGAGTGACATTTCGTAAATCTTCTCCGAACTTGAAATCCTTTAGACGATTGTGTAAAAACTTTCGTATGTTCCACGGAAGATCGTTATGGCCATCTGCAAAATTGTAAAAATAATAGCAGGTTAATAATTAATTTCTGATGAAGGATTTTTTGTGCGACAAATATTGTGCATTAAGTTACCTATTAGAGGAACTTCTTGCAATAGCCGTGACGCGAATTCTAGTCGTTCTTCCAATGAAGCGCCTTCTTTTATTTTGAGTGCAATTGGAACCCCGACTCCTGCTGCAGCCGCTAGAAGTAGTACAGTTGCAATAATCCACCAGTGGCGGCTAGAAAGATCAGTCTCTGAAACAAAGGAGAACGACGGGACGTAAATACAACACTCGGCTTTTATCGGCTTAACAAAAGTTCAAATGTAATTTACTGTAACAGCGGCAAAAGAAACGAAATTTTAGTTCGTCCAATTTCAAATCCGATTTGTCGCAAGTACGTTGAAGGACAAATAACTTTCAGGAACATATTTGACGAAAAGAGAGTCATTATTATTACAGTGAAATTATTGTATGTAAATATCTATGCTTAAAAAGTTTAACTGTTTGGACAAACAATAAGCACAGTGAGTACTCAGGGTTGCTACCCCAGATTCATTTTGTTTGACGTGGTTATTTCTACCTTGGGATTTACCCACCACGGCCCCCATGGGCACGGGATTTAGATCTATTCAATCAGGGCATGCTGGCTGAAACCATTGTTGCTAATTTCTCCTAGGAGATAAGCAAAGTATCCTTCAATTCTCTGGTGCGAGTGGGACACATATTTAATCCTTACCAGTCTTAACAGGCTTGGTACGATAACAGATATATACTCTGTTCACTTGTCGAAGTACCTACTACTCTCTCCCAGTATGCGTTGTGTAAGTACTGCCACTAGAAGTCCATCCGCACATAGTCGTACATACCAGAGGATTTCCCAATCGGATTACTTGCACTCCGGCACTGATAAGGCATCTTAGGTTTATGGGATCACCAACTTCCCCTGGTCCTTGTCACCTATAGTACCTAGGCTACCCCGATCCCTTTTTCTTACTTTCCATCTTTACATTAAGGTTCCGGGTTTTTGTTGGATCGATTGATAGAAGATTATAATTTTACACGGGCAGCTAGTTTAGTTAGTAAGGCGGTGTTTCCAATATGTGTGTTTCAACCATGTAATATTTTCTATGCGACAAACTAGTTAAAAATTAATAACGGATTTTAAAATGTGCTGGTTCAACGTAAACTTAGGAAAGGAGATAACGTAAAGGAAAACTAAAATATTAAATAAGGATTATCACGGTATGGAACATGATATATTCTTATCCTACATGAAACGCTTAATTTATTATCCTTTTACAAACTATCAAAAGACGCGTTTAAAGGGTAATCCTTTGCATAACCGCTTTACTAAATTTTACAACACCGTATTCAGTTGTTCTTGAATGAAATGATTAAAATGTTTATTATTTCTTAAACCAGGGTTTATTAAGATAGGTACAATTTTAGATAGGGGAGGCGCGTCAAATAGAATGTATTTCTAAATTTATAGTTTTTGATAATTTCGATCGAACTTGATTGGCTTTTCTGTATAGTACAAAAAGGTAATGTTTATGAAAGACTTCAACGAGAAACTTCGTTCGTTATTAATTTCTATTAAGGAACGTCTTAATTCAATTCCATTCCTTGCTCCTTCTGCCGTTTATTTTTGAATAATTAATTCAAGCGATTCCCTGCCATCTCCATCCCTTAAATGTTTATAGCACCATTAGGTGAGTGTAAGATCTGCAACCTTCCATACTTATGGCGAACAAATAGTGGGGGAAGATTCCGCATATGCATATATATATATATATATATATATATATATAAGGATCGTAAAAGGTGCTAGGACAACCATTTATCGAGCTATGAAAGATGCATGCGTATGTATAGTATCCGTGTATATTAACGTTTATACGCGGGCTAAAAAGGGCGCATACGTCCTTCCACCCTTCCTAATTTATTTTCGACATTAATCTCGCGTTGTGCTTTATTACTTTGTTTATGGCACGAGGATGTTTCCACTTTTGGCTCGTTGGCTTTTCAAGCCGCGTTCCAAGGAGTAATCCTTTCTTTATAGGCAATACCTCCGACTCTCGAACTGATTTTATTGAAGAAAGGGCATCTATGCCGCTTTGCTCTGGGGATTTTCGGTTTCATTAGTGCTTAAGTGACCTACCGTTTCTCGTAACAGAGGTCAATCTTATTCATCCATTCACTTATGTTCGCTAATCCTTCGCTCGTTAATCATCTCGTGAAATTCGTTCGAAATCTTTATCAATAGGATGTGATACGTATAGGTACTGAATAGATTCACATGCAAGCAGTGACGACTCATACCTAAAATTAGTAGTAGGGGTGCTGCTCCAGAGAAAGAATCATTTGCCTTTGTTTTAAAATTGCGTAAAAGAAAATTGATCCAGAAATTTAATAAAATCCTAAAAGAACAAAACAAATATTTTTTACTTTTTCTTTAATCAAAATTGTTAAATAACTTTCCACCAACATTCGGGACTCCGGGATCAAATACCACGCCACTGCAAATATTTTGTTTTCATAAACTTAACATATTAGGGCATTGCTACTGAAGCTTAAGGAGTATTTATATATTGTACAAGCATAAAGAAAGATTTAGAGGGAAAGGAGATAACATCAAATGGAAATAGGGAACGCTGCGGTTCCACAGTGCCTAAACACGAGTCGCCACTGATACAAGTTCACTACTTCCGTTTTGCGTTATTTCTGGAATGCAATTAGCGTTTGACATGTAAACGGCTTAGTTCGAAATGGCTGGACGTCAAAGTTCTAAGTCATTAAAGGACTTCGTGCTGTAAGTGTAAAGGCCTATTTTTAATCAAGTATCACTAACCGTATAGCGTGTAGTATGTTACATAATGATTAATTGGCAACTTCAGAGAAGTTAGTAGTTACTGCATGATATAATTAAACGGTAAGTTATATTAATTAGACTTAAGCTGCTTATCGTCCAACGTCCAGTTATAAATGCCCTTTATAACTGTGCTTATGTACAGTCGATAATTATGACGATATTTGCAGTGTAGTTTATCTGAAGAATCTGAAACTTGGCTCCAATAACATTTTTAGATAAAAAAGATAAGAAATGTTTATATTGCAAATAAACATACAATTTAAAGTTTTACGTTGATTACTGTCAAGTTAAAGAATATAGTTTCTCCGGCATAGCACTAAATTAATTATGTTTACAATTAATGACGAGTAGAGAATTGTTCCTCAAATGCTAATTTGTAATCTCGGAAGTTGTCAGATAAAGCAGGAAGCTTACTATGATGGAGCACGGTCATAGTTACTAAAGATATTCCATTGAATTAAGATTCAAGCTAGTAGTTAGCTAATAAATCCGTCAAGTTGTTTAGCAGTTACTTCATTCAGATAATTGTTAACTCACGCGAGTCTCGCTTGATCGTTTACAACCTAGATTTTAAAATACCGGATTAGAATCTCCTACAGGACATTCTAGATTTACTACGAGTATAATATACCTAATGTATTTGAAACAACAATTGTACCAAGTCATTGTGATATTAAGTTAAACCTGTTTGAATTTGCGAATATTGGTACCGATAAATATCATACTATTTATAATGCATGTGTCTATTTATTACCTCTTAGGTAGCCTAGTGACTCCCCCTGTATAGTAACAATGATTATGTAGAAACGTTGCGAAAATAACTCTACATTACTTACCCCGAAAAGAAGAAATAGGACATGGATAATTTATATCCTTCTACAATTGACCTGTCCCACCTTCCAACCCCCATTGTGCCCTCAACGCGTAACATATAGCAACTAATATTTGTTCAGCTCCCTTTTTTCCCTTCCGAATCACAAAATTATTACCGTCTACGGCTGCGGACCGGGGTATTAGCAAATGATTCTCCATAAAACTGGTGTTGACGGGTAACGAAATATATTGGGCAATCGTAAAAAACGAATTGTTTTAGGTTTGTGTAACACCACAAGATCGAGATCCTTGTTTTTTACACTGGTTACTGGTTACCTATGTAAAATGAATTATTGATTTGTAGCATCTTACTATTCGGTATGTACTCGTAATTTCGTTAATGCGATGGAAACACACAGGCGTGCTATAAAAATAATGCTGTTTACAGTTAGTTGTTGAAGTGACAAAGTGTAAAAGGAATAAAGGAAAAAAAGACCTAGTTGTTGCACCGTTCGATCTGGTAAGCTTGTGGTATTGAATAAGTCAGCGCATGTACAGCACAAGTGCTATGCCGTCTGGGTGCTTTATAATAAATTTAACGCAATACGGCCGCTGCGGAATCGCAACGCCATGTTGTTCATGTGAACCGAGCCTAAGTGCACAATACGTCTACTGTTGACAGATAATCGAACCGCGACTAAATGCCTCGGTCTGTCCCTAGGCTGTTCAGAGTCCATCCATCCGTTTGTAGTTGATACTTCAAAGAGAATTTGATTTGATACGGTTGGCATTTGGGCATATTTGCCTCGTTTGCGTCGTTTTATTGATAAAATCGTCATCACTGGCCATTACGCATTAAATTAGTATGCAATGAAATAAAATGCACATCACCGGATAACTGCTGCGCTTGTTGCTAGTAGTTGTAAAGTTATTTTGCTCCTAGCTAGTTTAAGATGCTACTTAACATCGGCAACTACTGTAAGACTCGCAGTTTTCTTCTATCGATCATCATAGGATCACCCATTCGGAAAACATTGCATATTAGAAATATTTTTAACAAGTGACGGTATGATCAATTGGATTAAGCCACTGATTTATTTTGGTCTTTTGATTTTGTTTTTGCAAGCAATTATGAAAGTTTCTGTATTTTCGTATTCTCATTACATTATGTAAGCTATATGTTAGTCGGACAAAAATAAACGTTGATTTTTATACTTTCATTTTTCCCCCGACGTTTGTTTTAAGCTTGCGGCATTAAGACGCTCGTCTTTCAATATTTCTTCGTAGAGAACCATCAAAGTCAGTTTTATTGAGATTTCCTTTGGTTTAGGGTGTTCATTTTGGGCCCGCAGCATTGAGAGTAATAACCGTCGCGTCTGCGGCCGGAGCGACCGACGCGACGAGCGCGTCGTGGCGACTGCCGCGCGTCTTGGAATTTATGTGGAAAACTCGTGGTTGCGACCCGGATTTGTGACCTTCGAGTTTTCATCATAACCGACCGCGATTTATGCCGAAAGAATATCTTATATCAAAGCCGTAATTCATCGTTTTGTCCCGTTCCTTTACTT